ATGTTTTAGATGTAGTTCTTAAAAAATGCAGATAGAATGTAGTTGTCTCAAATAGATCCTCCATGCTGACTTAATCTCCCCCATGCCTCAGAAAAATAAACCCATCAAGAATTACTTAGGTCTTCCTTTACTTAAAAAAAGCCCAAACACCACGCCCCTCCCCATGAATTCTGAGACAGAATGTGCAAAACAGCAAATTCTGTCTAGATCTTGATTTCGTACTGCTGATACAAATCTCTTTAATGAGATATGTCTTTGCTCCATAAGCCTTGGATTCAATGAGGACTTAGTCATGCAAATGAATACACTCTTAGAAAGCAACCTATTAAGCTCTGTACAACTACTAGCCTTCCTTATTAGGATTAAATTTTTGCGTGTAGCACAAGTGAATTTGTAAATATTATAATGCGCACTCCCAAACAACTACTCAAATTTTAAAGCAAAAGTAACATTCAAAAGAGGTTCATTATTTTAAAAGGCTTTTGCCATCAGAACTGGCACACAGGACTGTGGCTGGTTATAAAATTATGTGCGGAATCAAAAGTTAATTAATTTGATAAAAGGTTTGTAGGAAGGAATACTTAAAATAAAACCACCTACTTTAAAACACTTTTTCTACTTCAGTTCTACTATAGGTTTTGTTCTATGGAAGGCAAAGGAAAGACCAATGAATTGTGTTTTGTGCAAGCAGTAGGCCAGGTTCACTGGTGGAACACCTCAAGCCGTGACAGTGGATGAAGATGGTCCTCTGCCTCTTACCTAAACTCACAGCCTTTCACTTTTCAATCCCACAAGATGAGAAATGTTACATGTCATGTACATCCAACATGACAGTGTTTTCCACCTCGACTTCATTTTATGCTATTCCAGGTTCACATAATGCATTCAGCGCTCAAAATACCCCACTGTGTGTAAGTTTTTCCACAGCCCACCAGCGGAGCCTGGAGATAAACCTTCAGAAACTGGTGAAGTCCACCAGCGCAAGGAGGTTTGTCACTGGCCATGCAGATGCCCGCCTGTGCCAGCCTGCACCCCTGGAGTAAGCTTGGTGAAGGATGGCTGTGGGTGCTGTAAGGTCTGTGCCAAGCAGTCAGGAGAGCCCTGCAATGAAGCAGATGTCTGTGATCCCCACAAAGGTCTCTACTGCGACTACTCGGAAGACGAGCCTAGGTATGAAAAAGGCGTGTGTGCATGTAAGTTGTTCTTTCGTGTTTCCTTCTTGAAATGCAGGAGGGTGGGACCATGCAGGTAAATGGTTTTGGAGGAAAATCCTTCTTGCAGGTGCTGCACAAGCTCTATGCTAAACAATTTATCCTAATTTAGTCCTTTGACTGCTCAGCCAGAGAATCTGAGAGTAGGGCTGGGACTGGCTTTTAAACTTACCTGCACATGCATTAGTGAAACCAGTTCATTGTGCACAAGCCTGTTATTGGTAGATGTTGATGACTGATTTAAAGAGCTGATCACATTTATGGCTGACCACATTTTAGCACTCTATTAAGCAAAACCCACATGCTCCTCCTGTGTCAGTAACTGTTGTTCACCATTTTCAGATCTGGTAGCTGTAGGATGTGAGCTCAATGGAGTTTATTATCCCAATGGGCAGACCTTCCAGCCTAACCCACTTTATAAGTGCCTGTGTATCAGTGGTGCAATTGGATGTACACCTGTATTCACACCAAGACTAGCAGTGAGTCCCTGCACCAGGGTCACGGGCAGAAAGAAGCCTGGACAATCTCTTTGTGGACTAGGACAGCACAAGCAGCTTCAATCAACCAACTACAGACTGATGTCAGGTGAGCCTGGCTACACCAGTAAACTTTTCTGTACATGAGCCTTTCTGCATTTAGTGTCCCTGGCTCCAGCAGCCAGGCAGGCGACACACTGGCACTTTCTCAGTTCTTACTGAAGGCCATTGCCAGGGTGACTGTTCTGTCCCACTTATCCCTCTTACTCTCAGGTCACAGACTCTTTTCTCTAAACCTAATGAATGTGAAAAGCAAAAAGGTTTTTGGCTTCTGTCACCAGGGAACTGGGCAAAGCATCATTCTGCAGAGATTTATTACTCATCAGATCAGTCAGACCAATTAGAGATGCTGGTGGACAGCCATTTTGCAGCTTGGGAGCTGTCTCACTTTCTTCTGCTTTGTGAGGTACAGAGTCTTCATTTTCACATACATACATTAACATGCTGCAGGCCTCTTCTTCCAATAGAAAGCAGAAAATGATAAAAATTGCCTTGGTGGCTTTCCTGACAAATTTTAGGTCACTGCAAGGACAGCACTCCCCGTACTTTCTTCTCTATTCAGATCAATTCTCTGTTCTGATCAAAAACATCCACAAGCTTCTCCATGCAGTTCTGCCAGGGTCAGCTGACATTCCCTTTAACCTCATCCTTGCTCTGCTGTTAACCCTGTAGCTTTCTTTTTCACTTTAAGGAAGCACCATGACAGAAACAGCTATTCTGGCCCTTCCCTGGCCACAGCTGCCTAAGCTTGTGCCATCTCCTCCCTATGCATGTGCAACTTTCCATGGCGAAAGTCATCTTCATTACAACTTATACGGGTACTAGACAGCTGAGCCATTTATTTGGTGGCAGCTTGAATCATCATCATCGATCAATAAAACAAAACCAAAAAGTTTGCAAAGCTCATCAGAAAACCTTCATCAAAAACTGCTGAGTAAACAGGTGATGCACAGAAGTCAATCTGCAGATAAACAGATCCGCTTACAAAATCTGAAGTTCAGCTTGGACAGCTTCTCACACATGAGCAATGGTTATACAAGTTAGTAAAAATAAAAAAAGAAGCTCATCCTTACTTCAAAAATTATGATACAATACCTATAACTAATATCAAAGCCTTTTAACAGAAATATCCTTAATGTTGTTTGTATAAACATGCACTTGGTAAGGCAATGGACTTCAAGTGAAGAATGATTTCTTTTCTAGAGAACAATGTTAATCTGATTCAAGAGAGAACACACTGAAAACAATGGCAACCAAACCATCTGACATACAGTAACTGGGTTTGTGGGGATATACATTTCAGGTATCTGGAGCACAGTATTAAGCCAACATTTATTCCAGGATTTGAATCAACTGCACAGCATAACCTTGAGAGAAGACACCCAGCTTGCAAACTCTTCCTGTTGGGCTCAGTTCAGGGACTCAACACCCTGTCCCTGTGCTGGCTGTACGTGCTGAAGGATGCTGTTCTTTGGAACCTTCTGAAGAAATACACCTTGAAATTTTTGTTTCAAAGTCTTTCCCCTTTCATTCCACAGACCAGCAGAAGTATCAGGTCAACTTGTGCATGAATTCCATGGATGGCTCAATATCTATTTTGAAAAGCCCTTTTTCTCTTACTGTGAATAAGTGCTAAGTTTCATTTTACTGCTCATTTTGTTTTCTAGCTTTTTGTTTCAATTGGATGTGCCTAATTCAGACACATAAGGATGTAACTAGGTCATACTTTAAAAAAATATACCAAGTATAAACAACCATTTAACTTCCCTTTATTTGTTGCAGTTCTCTGAAAGGCTTTTAAATTGCTTGCTTCAATGAGATCTTTAAATTGCTGTCTACTTTCCAGGTATTCTGGAAAGCTGACAGCAATTCTGGCAATTTCAGGTAATTCTGTGCTCGTCACATAAATGTCCAGATTCCACATAGTTTTTTTGCAGAGTTTCACTATGAACTTTTCCATTGCAATTTTATTTCTTTATTTTTAAAATGTACTCCATCCAACCCAGGCCTCATCCATCAGAAAATAGGCTTTTTGGTGATATCTAGAACTGATTGAAGCATTTTATTCCTCAATACAAACTCTAAGGTCTTCACAGTATCTACAAAGAAACAAACATTAATGTTTTCAGCAGCCCTTTACAAGTTAAATTTGGCCTGAAATAAAATAAAAAAAAAAATCTGGGCATTCCATAAAAATTCCACAAATAACCCTCTCCACATAACATTTCCATTACATGGAACGGGAGGGTCACATAGCTATGCAATTTAATAGTCCTTACTAGGACCTGAGTATCCAGTGTCAGTAAAGTTTAATGGCAGCTCAGCTGGCTTTTGTATAAAAAGTTATTTATGTCTCTATGTTACAGAAATGTTATTTCCACGTTTATCTCCAGAAGTACCTTCAGGAACAGAAATCAAAGTCTTATCCTTGTATTTTCAATTCATCCTTTTGGGGCTAGTTCTGCTGCATAAATAATATATTGCTGTCTTAGCTTACAGAAGCTTACCGCTAGTCTTGAAGAAAAAGTGCCTTGTACAGGCAACTCCCTGGACACCCTGCTCCAGGACCTGTGGCATAGGCATATCCAGCAGAGTGACCAACGACAACAGAAAATGTGAGATGAAAAAAGAAAAGAGATTATGCTTCATCCAGCCTTGTCTGACCAATATGCTGAAGAAAATAAAGGTATTTTCTGATATAAAACTACCTCTTAATAGAAAATGAAAATATTTGAGCTAGTGGAAAAATATATGTATTAGCAACTGCTAATAAAACATTGACTTCTTTTTTAAGGGTTTAAAAATAACTCTTATGCTTTCTACATTTGGTCTTAGGGTTTCAGTAGTAAACTACAGATGTGTGATTTCAAGCAAAATAATGTAATGTCCTGATATAGATGTGCTGCCAGTGCTGTCCTGATGCACAGTCACTCCGAAAGTATTTTCTACTTGTCGACTGATAAAGCAAAAAATAAGGCAGTTTCAGACTACATTAGTTTCAGACTAACTTTTAAGATATTTTTAAGTAAATGTCACAACTTATTCTTACATGGTCTGTTTTTAATGTGTAGAAAACTCAGGCTTTTCTTTGTTCTAATATTAAAGATTCCAAAAGGAAAAACATGTCAACCGACATTCCAGCTTCCAAGAGCAGAGAAGCTAATTTTTTCTGGATGTTCAACTACTCAAAGCTACAGACTAACTTTCTGTGGGGTGTGCTTGGACAAGAGGTGCTGCATACCTAATAAGTCCAAAATGATCACTGTACAGTTTGAGTGTCCCAACGAAGGCTTCTTCAAGTGGAAGATGATGTGGATAACATCGTGCGTATGTCAGAGGACTTGCAGTGCTCCAGGAGATATATTTTCTGAACTCAAAGTCCTATGACAAGTTACACCACTGACTGTAACACATCGAGAATGCAAAAGCACATTCACACCCTGAAGAGTTAGCATAACCCTCTGCCACAGCAGTGTTTATACTATGGCAGTATAAACAGTATAAGCAGTGAAATAACAAGTGAATACTCACTCATGTTTTAAATGTCACTGGAAAACACAAGCAAGAATGCATCTCTTTAACGTAACTGTTTTTATATGGGGAAATATATTCTTGAGAAGGATGCACGTTACAGTAGTTCTGTCCAAACAAGAATTTTTGGTAATTAAGAAAGGCACAGCAAGACAGCTTCATGTCTCACTGTAACAAGGTGTTGCCCACAAAAAAAAACCCCACATGTTCTAACCTATTAGAAAAAAATACTTCCCTGTAATACTTCATCTGTCATTGCTGATTCTTAAATTAACCTTTTCTACCATGTATCTGCAACAGTAAAACACATCAATACTGTTTGAAAATGAAGAATTCAACTTTAAACTCAGACTGCTTTTTGCAGCAGATAGTGTTTCTCTAGTGTTGTGAATATAAACAGTGCACATCTAAAGGAATAAAAAAGTGGGCAGGCAACTGCAGATAAAAGATGCAACATTTCAAAGAAACTACTGTTTTTAGAACATTTTCTTAAAAAATGCTCTCAACAAATGCTAGCACAATGCTTTATTGAATGCTTCTGGACATATACATTGGAAATTGTGCTTACTTATACACCCACTCCAACTCTGCTAGAAGGACTTCAAGCTTCAAGAATCATTGTATTGATCCATTCTGTTCTGTAACAGTTCACTAGTCTTGCTGTTTTAAGACAGCCAATGCTAGTAAGCAACTGGAAATAGCTGTATATTCTATTTTGTAAAAGTTCTTACTGTAATATAAAAAGCTGCTTACCCTGATAATTATAAATATTAAAACATCTATTTTACTTGCATTCTTTCAAGCCTATAAACTCTGTTCTCCAAACAGTTGTTATAATTCTTTATATATATATATATAAAACTTCATTATAAGTGCATGTTTTGCTCAGAGGTATACTGTATTGTCTCATTATCAAGTGCTACTCAGCATTCATGAATATGAATCATTAAAATAATATGTTATTTAATACTCCAAGTATAATACTTGAAACAAAATTTATCTTGTGGAATTTTCTGATATTGCCAATTTTGGTATCAACTCAGAATGCTCTAATATAGCTGAGTACAACAGAGAAGCAAAAATATTAAAATGATGAACATAGCTTAGAGCATTCTGAAATGTCCACTGTAAAGCTTAAGAAAGCAGTTTCATTAGAGACTTGCTTTCACCTTTGAAAAGACTACATAAGCTTTTCTTCTCTTCGTAGTTGCTTATTAAAAACAAATCTAGCAATGGTGATCTTTCTTTGAAACAAAGCCTACCTTTAGTTTACTGTAAAGTCTGAGAAAAGAATTACATTTTTGGCTGCTAAAACTTCTCTTCCTTGTCTTCACAGCATATGGTGTGTCAATTTACTCCATAGCTAGGATTACTGCTCTTACTGATATCAGCTATAATTAGGTGCTGTCAAATCTTTTTTACAGGCAGGGCTTATCACTTAATATGACAACTCTTGAGCTGAGGAAGCCGTTGTCCCGGCACCGCACTGTCTCCTCAAGTCCCACTTTGGAATTACCACAGCCAGGCATGCTGCAAGTCATTCTGGTTAACTGACGCGGCTGGATGTTTAGGGAAGTGTTTCATTCTCTTCAAACAAAAAAAACTAAAAAGCAGTTCTTCCTTCTTTAGACAGCTATCTTCAGTCTTGATGGATCTGTTCTAGGCCCACCTTTTGTAGCATCCAGTTCATTGTACTCTTCTATTAGGTCAGACAAAGAGGACACAGCTTCAGAAAAACAGCTTTGCTCCATCCCGTCTATTTGCAGATAATGGTGAAGGTGAGCCTACAGGAATAAAAAAACCCATAATTCACTGTTACCATTTTTCTTGGCCCCTACTTGCTTTGGCTCAGTAAGCACCATTTAGCCTGCACTGAAGGGGAAGTGCAAGCACTGTAGAAAGGAGACTTATATCATGACACCTCTTGTTTAAATACTTCACAACTTTAGTTACAATCCCCTATGGAATCACAATCAATATTACTGATTCCTTAAACATCCATCTTTTCATACTGGTCAGGTGTACCCTAGGGGACCGACCATGTTACTGGGTTTATGTGGCAAGGTTTTGGCAGCAGGGGCAGTGCAGGGCTGCAGGGGTGGCTTTTGTGAGAAGATAACAGGAGCTGCCTGCGTGTTCCAGCTGGCTCCAGTAGAGACCCGCCACTGGCTAAAGCTGAGCCCATTAGTGATGCTGGCAATGCCTCTGCGACATATTTAAGGAGGGGTAAAAAGGATGCACAACAGCTGATGATTTAGGACAATGTGAGAGAAACAGCCCTGCAGACAAGATGATCAGCAAAGAAGGACCGGGAGTGAAATTCCGAGACTGGGAAGAAGGGGGTGGAGTGGGGATGAAGGTGTTTTCAGTTTTGCTGTCCTACTCTGTTATTCATTGGCAGTAAATTAAAATAATATTCTCTGGTTTGCCCATGACAGTAACTGCTGAGTGATCTCTCTGTCCTTGACCTAAAAGCTTTTCATTGTATGTTCCACCTGTCCTGCTGAGGAAGGGAAGTGAGAGAAAAGCTTGGTGGGAACCAAGATTTAAATTAGATACAAGGAAAAAAATTTTTAGAGGGTGGTGGGGCACTGGAACAGGTTGCACAGAAAAGCTGTGGATGCTCCATCCCTGGAAGTGTTCTTGGCCAGGTTGGATGGGGCTTTGAGACACTTGGTCTAGTGTCCCCCCACTGCAGGGGGATTGGAACGAGATGCTCTATAAGGTTCCTTCTAACCCAAACCATTCTATGATTCTGTGATATTGTCAGGTCGGTACAGATGAATAAGGCATTTACGCTTTTTAAGAAGCGTAAATATAAATAGGCAACATAAATAGAAATCTTGGGCTGTTAATTTTAAGCAGTCCCTTTGTGATACTAAGATTTGCTTCCCAATAACACAAGATGCCAATGATTAGTGACTACGGATATTACAATGATAAGAGTTGCACCTTTTTCTTGTAGAGCTTCATAAATCTCTCTTTGAGTTCAATGAAAGTTGGTTTTACACAGGTGTTGTTTGCTAAAGCCAGAAGGGAATGGGAATGGCCCACAGGAGGTACTGAACACAAACCAGTTTTCCAGCCCTCTTGATTCCAGGAGATAAAGTGCAGAGAAGGTTTTAACCTGTGATACAAAAATTTAGTTATCTAAGGAAAGTGAAGAACATGAATGCTAAGTTTTCTTTCTTAACTAACAGTCTGAAAAGGTTAACATTTAAGCTTTCAGAACAAAGCAGGACAGTTGAAACTATCATTGTGAATAAGACATTTTAGACTTCAGACTAAATCACTGTGTCTATTTGAAAGTTAAATTGCAAACATCAATATTGTTTTGTTAATTTAACGTATCGGGATTTGAAAGACGAAGTTACAAGTACCTATTTCTATAAAAGACACTGCAAGCCCTCTGCAATTTAGGAAAGGGGTAGATTAATACTGTGTGGGAACAATCAGTTGACCTGTAGTTTTGAAATAAGTTAAATGCTTTAGATTCTCAGAAATTTTCCTCATGCTTCCCTGTCTGCCTATAAACTCCCTTCTGTATGTGAAGCTTGCCTACCTTTCCTGTTGTATCTATGTAGCTCAATAGTGTAAAAGGTAGAAACAGGGTGCTAACAATACAGAGTTGTTAAATAAGGATGATGTCCTATCTACAGGAAAGTAACCATGAAAGAGAGGGATGTTTGGCTCAGTAAAAACAAACTTCTACTACAGAACTTACTCCCCCAACATCCTTTACTGTCAGGAGAGCCCTGGAAGGTTGGGTTTTGCTTTCTTTTGCGTTTTTGAGGAAAAGGGAGGAGCAGTACTGAGATATTTAGTCAGCTCCCTTTATCTGGAAATCCAGGAATGCTGTGACTTATTCTCACTCATTGCATAAGTTAATTACATTTTCTTTCCTTCTAAAATACAGAAAAATATTTCTGAGTAAACTGATTTGGTATTGAAACTCTTCAAATGAAAAGTTGGAGTGCTCTGGATGACTGACAACAGTTTGCCATGACTACTTTGTGTGGTATTACAAACCTTTCAATGTTTCGGCGAAGGTCTGAAACCTGCACATTTCCACGAACAAGAAGTGCACAGGCAAGGTAGAGGCTATGCTTTGGATCTGCTTGAATTAGCTGATGATCTCTACTAAATGCATCTGAAAACATCTGATCCAACCTAGGGGAAAAGAAAACAGTTATCTACTCTTACTAAAGTAGGATACAAAAGCTTTTCAGAATGCCCATCTTCAGAGTTTGAAAGTTCATAAAATTGTGGAGATAAAGATATATCTAACCTGGGACCCTAAATTATAGGAAAAAGATTCAAACTTATATATATGTTGGCATTACAAGTTTTTAAAAACACACTAGATCCGTTTTTTACTCTTCTCCCTCATGCTACAGGCCACTGTTGAGTCACAGAAGTTGCCTTTATAAAGGCAATTTGAGGTCAGTAGTTACAAGGTCTTATGACAATCTGAGTGGACAATCTCACTGTGAAGGATCTGACAAGGAATATCAAAGTGCTGCTGACCCTTATAGAACTGGTTATCTGCCTGTTACACTTCATTATTTAAAAGGATCAAAGAATCACAGAACAGTGATGATTTCGATTAATGATTTAGGAAAAGACAGACTATACATACTTGTCTACTTATTCTAATTTTATCATGCATGACTGCTGATCATATTCTTTCTCTCTTCACTTCCTTAAGCAAGTTTCACTGTAGTGTGGGACATCAAAGATGGTGTCCTGACGTTTCTGCAGACCCACAACATCTAAGCTATTCTTTCCATTTGTCTCAAACTCTCTGTATTCATCACCTGTTTCTTTTTTCTTATATCACCTCTGCCACACTCTGTCTATTCCAAAAAAACCCACAAAAACTAAATAAAAAACCCAAAAATATTACTGCTTGTTCCCACTTCATTCTGCGACATCTTTGACTGAGCATCTCCCCATGGTATGCTTCCTTCCCCCAGCACCGCACTGTCTCAAGGTATGTTTTCAAAAGATACAGCTGATTGTCACCACTTGCTATCACAGAACAGCCCTCTCCTCTGCTTTGCATACTTCCATCACTTTAGTTGCTTCTATCATCATTTGGACCTCTTGCTGCCTGAACTTAATTCACTAAATCCAGTAAAATCTATTTTAACTGGTTATTTTTCTGCTGTGTCAGAGGGAAAAATATCTCAAAGAACTTTACAAGTTTCAGGTTATCATTACAATAAGTTGATAAATAGGCTCACTGCACTTCCACATTCAAGTAATATGGCATTACTTCCCAAAGAGTCTAGTTTAATTTCTTTTTTGACTGACAAAATACTGTAAGGACAAGTGCAAACTGTTACTCAAAAGAACTTGTGGTGTGGGTTCTATCTGAGTAATACATTTTTCCAACAAAAACATTTCCCAGCAGAGATTAAAAAGATGTCAAATTTACTGGCTCAACCATTACAGAGAAAAGAGACAATAGATGTTATAAAAATCAGCAGGATGAATTTGAAAATGTGGTAGACTTAAAAGTTTTAGAACTTCCACCCTTAGTTTTGCTACAGAATGGGATTTTTTAATGAGAGCTATGGAAAAATCAGAAGTTAGGCTTTAAATGCGAAACTCCCATAATATATTTTCCCTACCTTCTAGAAGGTACATTAACATCTGCCAACGTATACAGAGGAGTCAGGCTTGAAACCAAATAATGAAGTCGAGGAAATGGAACCAAATTCATACTGATTTCATTAAGATCCATGTTTAGGGAACCTTCAAATCTAGCAGAACTGAAAATTAACAAACCATTACAAAATTACTATAAACTAAGGAAATCACTTCTATAATGCAAACTTCCATTAATCTATTTTTCAACTGTTCTGTACAATAAAACAGTAAAACAACACAGCATTCAAGAAACCATTCACGTATAATTACAAAACTGTCACATTTGGCAGAATCAGTGCTAAATCTTATTTACTTATACTTCTCATTAAAGAACAATAAATCATCAAGAATAAGACCTTGTTTCCCAGTTGTAGTCTTTAGCACTGTTTTTCAGTATGTGGACATATTTGATTAATACCAGTTAATTAATACCAGTTGTACTAAACAAGCTATCATAAAACATGTGTGACTTTGCATTCCTGACAATCTGTTTAAAAGAAAAACAGGCCAATACTCCAGAAGCATATTTCTTGCAGCAATAGACAGTTTAGGAGCAAAAATGATCTGACAGTATTTATAAAATAAATACAACTGGCCTAGAAAGGCAAACCTTCCTAGGCTCCACTAATCACTAATGGAAAACACTATCCTTCTGCCTACAAATTTACTTCAGTTTTAAGACTGTCATGGCTAAAGCAACACCACTACAATCTGAATACTTCCAAATACTTCAGCATTTATTAACCAACTCTTAAAAAGAGAAGACTCGTATCAAATGAAAAACAATTTATATTATTCAAGTTGATCCAGGCCCGCATATTTGCAGCAAACACCACCTCCAGCAATACTACTTTGTTACAGAGGAATAACCTGTAACTTTACCTTGTCAGGTTCAGCAGCAAGTTGGCTACGATATTATTCATTGCATCAAATGGCTTCTCTTGGAGAGTTTTTACACTGCCTGCACTTGATGTTACCAAGCTGTTTTGCTTCACGGTTGACCCCAGCTTCCCAGAATTGATCATCTGATTAATTTTATTAACTATATCAAACAGAGACTTTGAAAGAGAAAAATAAAAGCAAAGTAGTCTTGAGCACAGAACTTTCAAATTCAGTACCCCAATTTTTCACTTTCATTAATCTTAAAAGCTAACACATGGTACTGTTAGCTCAAAGATTATACCTTTGATACATCTAAGTCCAACTTTTGAGCAATTCCAGTTTACTGAAGTGTTTCTAAAAGCCTGTTCCTTACATGTCACAAATATTTACACAGCTTGACTCAGAAGTTTGAATTATATTCAACTATTTAAAATCCTTATCTTCTAAAAATGAATTTTAAATTTTCATAACACCTGTGAAAGGAAAAATATATTCTCTAACTAAATATCACTTTTTCTTGCTTTTTTTTCCATAAACCAACACCAAGACAGTCACCAGAGCTAGATTCAAATGGTTCTAGTACTTTGCAAGGTCAAGTATACCTATGATTCTCCTAGGACTAATGAGCACAGTTAAGTGTGTTGGAATCTAGTGTGGTTAGTCATTTCTCTTGCAGGACTCTATTAATACTATGCACAAAATGATAGCTAAAAAAATAGAAGACACTCTGTCTCAGTAAATAGAAGCTTTTCAATGTTCACCTTGAAAAAGACACAAAAAAATTCACTCTAGACTACTTTGAAGATGCAGAGCAACTTTTTAGTGATACCCATGTTCATTTCAAAAGCCTACAAGTGACTTAGAAGTTCAATTATTATTTGAAAAAATGAAATTATGCTTTAAAGACTTGGTACTCAAATTGATACAGAAAAGCGAGAAAGACTTCCTTTGTGCAGTCTAATAAAAAAAAAATTGCCAGAAATATAATATTAATTCTTACTTCATTCTCTACTGGTAACACACAGTCTGCATGTTCATTAAGCTCCTTCATAGCCAGAACACTGTTATATGGAGAAGTAATAACATCATCTTCACCAGAGGGATAAACTGAAGTAACAAATCTATATACTTCTGGGAATTCGTCCTCAAGCAAATTTAGTACAAAAGTTCCAAGACCAGATCCTGTCCCTAATTATGAATGAAAACAGAATGAGAGAAGATAAAAGGTTCCCCATGTTATCTTAGGCCCTAAGACTCATATGTTGGAGACATACAACTTTTCAATTATATATGTTAATGAGTATTTTCTGAAATATTTGGCTGACAGTGGAGGCTACTCAAATGTAACTTAAGGCAGAAAGGTTTTTCCCAGACAGGAAAATAATTAAGTAAAAAAAGTATTTCCCAAGGTATACCAGTCAGGATGAAGTATACAATTTCAAAAATTTCTGCAATCCAAATAGTCCTATTATATAACAAACATTTTCTGACCTAGTATTTCTATTTCTTATTTTAAAATTTTTATTTGTATTTTGAAACAAGACATTTGCTTAAAAGCACTGAACCGCTCCAAACTTTCTTTCCTTTTAGGGTTTCTTTATAAAGTTTTCTCATTCTCCAGTCATAATAGAACCACCCCTTTCTCCCAGCACATAAGCTTTTTCCCCTCATTATAACTAAGAACACAGCACTGAGCTCCAATCAGAGATCTGAACTGTGATCTTTTTCTAAATTTGCAGCTACATTCTCAGTGGCAGACAATTTATTCTTATGAACAAGACAGCAACTTTCTGCAATAACAGAAACAATATCTGCAGGGGCTCTGAAATTAAGCAAACGGCCACAAAAAAGGCTCTCGACAGAACCCTTGCTTCATATTTAGAGCTATTTTCTGAGTCCTTTTCCACATCATTACCAGTTACAATACATGCTGCTCCCAGGTTTCTGTTGTAGGAAGGCTTAGAGGCAAAGCATTCTCCCTTTTGGTTTATTAACAAAGTAACTAGATTGGATTCAAGAGAATTGTGTGGAAGGAAAACAGAAAAACAAAGTTTTTCTAAAACAACACTTGAAGTCTTCTTCAAGTGTTTCACAAAATTCTTTCCCCATGATTAAAAGCAACTTGATTACAACAATGACATCAGTGTTCAGAGGCCACTGACCCTTCTTCTGAGCAGTAATTCTGCTGAGTTTATTTGTCTTTGGTACCTGTCTGGATCCATCCACTGAGTCGTATTTAAAATTTTAGCTGCATTTTTGCTCTGGGTAACACATTAGGGCTCCTTAGTGCTCTAACAAAACAAGTACTAAATAATTACAGCTCCACTTAATTGATCTGTGGTTTTTTTTTTTATTATGCATTCTGAACCATGTGAATTATTATATTTATGTTCTTTTCAAGATCCATGTTTTTCTTTTTCATCTGTGGCTACTGCAATCATACTCACTACAAAGACATTACTTACCACCTCCCATGGAATGTATTATAAAGAAACACTGCAGACAGTCACAGTGTTCTGCGGTTTTCCTCAGCTTTTCCACAATGTTTTCCCGGTACTGATAGCCGTATAGCTTATGACCTACAGCCCTGAGGACACAAAAAGTACTTTAAAAAAAAAAATATTCCAACAACCAATCTTTCAATTTTTTATTTTATCTGTTTCTATTTGACAGTTTAGAGTTCAGAGTCCAACACCTCATCTGTGAGAGTTTCCAAACTGTGTCTACATAATGAGAATATGGGAGTCAGGACATGGTTTTAATTTTGAGGATGCAAGCAGCACTAAGTTCACATTTGGAGCATGCACTATTATTTTGTACCGATCAAGAAATAAACTCCCACATTGGATGATCTCATTGTAATAATGAAATGAAAATTACATGCTCCTTAACAATAAGGATACCCCTATGCAAAATGTGTCCTGATCTTCCTTTGAGTACTATGCAAGTCAAATGATACCAGTAATTAAAAAGAACCCCAAGTGGCTTGTTTTCCATACACTTGCCTGCTAGATGGTGAAGTTACAGGATGTTTTATCCTTGTATTGCCCTCTCTTTTGGCACATTTGCTGATGATTTGCTTTCCAGTCTGTAGTGCACTGAATATTACTAGAGGCACATTAGGGTCTCCATGAAAATTTGCAATTCGTTATGTTAATCAATCTTTTTCTGAATTTCTCTTTTTGGGAATGTAGTTTAGACACACAAAGCCAGACTCTGTGGTGCTTAGAAATCAGAAATGCATTTGTTCATATATCTCATTTTCCACAGTAGTTGCACAGTCTCAAACTAGATTATGGCTTTGACTGAGCAATGGAAGCAGCTGAATACCAAAAAAACAAAAATAAAAAGCATGTTCTTTTGAAACGAAAATCAAAAAAGAGGGAGAAAAAAATAGTCAAAATGGTGTATCAGCAGAATTATCCTTCTGTAAAAGCCTTTTCAAAGCCCTCCTCCAGGCAACAGTGACTCCAAGTTTGCTGGTAAAATGCAGCAGCTCCCCAGGTGCAGAACGAAACAGAAAGCTACGGTTATCATTTCCCTTTTCAAATGCCATCTAATTAGTTGCTAAGAAATGTGTTCTGAAGAGGTTCTCACCAGTTGTTTCCTGAACCAGAAACATCTGTGATAAGCTGCTTGCTATCAAACACATCCCTCAATGGTCCCTGCAGAATTTCATTTACCACACCCTCCTCCATGTCAATCAACAGTGCCTTTGAGAAGAGAAAGAATTAAAATTCAGTCAGTAAGGAAACTACCCTTGAAATAACCATACAAAGAAATACAAAATTATTTACAATATAAAAGGTATACTGTTTCTACTCTGCTCCAAAGAAGCCTTTTTTTCCCACAGTTGTTAACTAGGAGACCAATTAGATTAACCTTAGCTGATTTGCCAGAAGTTGGTCAATAGGACAACATTTCAGATAATTAAATTTAGTTAAAATTTTATATTTTGCCCCAACAGTTAGCAATGAAGACATTAAAATATTTTGTTTCAAGTTTTCTTGCTTCTTAATAATTTAAAGTGGCTTAAGGAAACCCACTTCTTAGAGAATTCAAATAAGTACTTAGTTACTAATATCTGCAATCATTTTATTAGAATTACAATTACTCAACAACACAAGCAGCAAACTGTATTACTTGAATGAACCATAAAAGTTACTATTAGAAATTCTACTAGTCAAAGCAGTATTTAAACCTGTATGCAATTTTAAGGACTTCATGAAAATTCCCACACAGTTGAACATAAACATGCCACGTAAAAAGAATGACCTTTATAGATTGCCTTACTCGTGCTTTTAAAGAGCAGATTTTTCCTTTGTAAATACCTGGGCCATCACCACCACTTCTGAAAAAAAAAAAAACCAGTAACAGAAAGATCTAAGCTCAGATTCATAATAGAAAATACATACTATAATAAAATTTTCTCTTTAGTGTTTTGTGTTCAGAAGAGTATGACAACAAAAAACAAACAGAAACACCCTGAACATACTGCTAAGAAAGACCTCACAATTCCCGGAAGTAATGCAATTACAGGACACGATCTCAGTCAGAAACAGCCTAAGCATTACTTCAAGAAGCTGAAAAGAGAAGCACTGAACGCTTACTCTCAGATACAGCCTCTGCAGGAATTCTACAGTTCGCCAAAACTTGAAAGGATCATCTTTTATCAGCATGTGATATGTGTATCCGCATCACATAATTGAACACAGTGCACCAAGTAGCCCCACGAGCTCTTTAGTGGGGGTTGTTACGACGCTGTACTTCTGCTCAGGTGTGAAACCTGTGTTACTGCACTGAGCACAGCTTGACTTTGCTATGAAGATTTGCCAGTTCAGAAATAATGCTGGGATGGGCATAGCTACTTCTTTCCCAGGATTGGTTGTACTGAGCCAAGGCAGGAGACTATGCATTGTGCTACAATCATATTTTCTCAACAACAAATGCTGGTGCTTCTGCACTCAAAGGATGAGATACTCCAGTCTGGCCAAACTATACTGAACACAGGGGAAAAAAGGTAGGGATACTGGGAGATGGATCTAATTTTCCCTTCAGTTATTTACCTTATTTGGGAGCTGGCCAAGACTAAAGAATGTCTTAGACTATTCTACATTCTACCACAAAAACACTCCCAAAACATGAGCTAAAATTTGCTACAGTCCCATCAGAAATGAGGGGAAGAGAATATGGGGCTGTACTGGATTCCTCCAGGACTTTCCACCTGCTCTCCAGACACTTCTCATTAGCTGAACAGCTCACAGCAGTACTTATGTGATTACTCTAGGCTACACAACACATATATGAGTCCACTATAGCAGGACTAAAAACACCTAAAGAAGTTCTATTTCTCTTCAAGGACTAACAAAACTCAAAGAGGAAAAAAACCCTTCCCAAAACAACACTTCTTTTTCTTCCTATTGTCTTTGTGCGACGGACCATTCCTTCAATCACTTGGATTCAATTGCTGAAAAAAAATCTCCACGTTCCTAGAATCCCGGAATGGTTTCGGTTAGAAAGGGCTTTAAAGACCATCTAGTTCCAACCCCTCTGCCCTGGGCAGGGACACTTTCCACTAGACTAGGTTGCTCAGAAAGAAAACAGATGATTCTTTTGCAGTCAAGCTGCCAGTTAAAAATTTGGTGGTTTCACCAGGCTTGTACAGAAATATAGGCATTTTTTTACAATCAAATTTTCTGGGTTTAAAAAAAAAAAAAGTTACTCCAGGAAATACCCACAAGGAATGGTAATCCTAAATTCCAATGCATTTGCATTGTTCTTTCAAAGTTGTAAAAGTTGAGACAAAACTATTTGTATTTCAAAGCCATTTTAATTAAAATCACATGCTGTGCTGTAACCTTGTCATAGAAGAAAAACAGGTTGGTCAAATCCAAGGATTTTTCTAACTGGACGGATTAGAGATGACTGAATGCTCTTAAGATATAAATTGGTTAACCCAAACTTTCAACATCTTTAACTACTGAAGTAAGTATCCTTAAACCAGAAATGTAAAGATACGTTTTGAGAAGAAAACAAAAAAGCAAAATATTTTCCTAGAACAAACTAAATATGACTTGAAACAAAGAAAATTATAACTTAGGTTAAGAGAAGATACTTGAAGTGTGGATCCACTGTGTTACACTCATGAGCTTCTTGATAAGACAACTTACCTTGTATCTATGTTCCTAAAGAAACTGCTTAACGCTTCATCATAAATTCCTTTCTAAAAGGAAACAACACAAAATGATACGTAACATCAAAAATTCTCAGTGCTTTTTTATAGAATAATTTACGTTGGAAGGGACGTCTGAAGGTCACTTGTCAAACTTCACCGCTTGAAACAGAGTAAACATCTATGTTGAATCCAGCTAGCTCTAGTCAGATCTAAAAAGAACATTTCACTGAAAAATCATCGTTATTAAAAACTGACAGGAGGACGTAACTAGAAAATTAATTTTTCAGCACAAGATTAGACAACTGTAGTAGCTTACTGAAGATCCCCAGGCAATTATTAAATCTAATAGCTGCTGTTTAGCTGACTCAGTTCATCACTGACACAACACTCAGTTCATCGTGGGCTTAAGGCCCATGAAGTTCTTTGAAAAGGAAAGCACATCACACTGCATCAGTGATTCCAGAACTCCCTGCTGAGAGACAGCACGCAAATTACTTACCCAGCCATAAAACTAAAGAGACCTAGCAAGTTTAAATACTTTCACATTATTATTTACAGATTGCTACCACGATCAAGACCTGGTGACGGAGAATTTGGAAGACACTCTTTTGTACTACACTACAACCAGAAGACTCTCTGAACGCAACATGAACTTCATCCACTGTGTTTTTACAGTTGCTTCTAAAGAAGGCATTGAAGACTCCTCATTATTATCTGTTAATATACTGTGTTAACCAGGAAACAGTATCTTTATAGTCACAGCAAGGAAAATGTGATTTTGTTCAGGGTAGTCAGCACAATCCTATGCCCTCTTCAGTGCAATTTTCTTTAGCACAGCTGTATGGCAAGTATGTGGCATGAGCTAAAATGGAGAACAACAGTGGAATTTGGGGGGCTGCCCTTCTGCTTTACTGCCAGTGGCAAAGAACCTACACTAAACAGACTTCTCTTGCCACTAAGTGCCTTAAACCTGGTAATGCCTGGCTTTAGGGAGACATCCTGGGCTTTTCAAGGTGGAAAGGCTGGAGAAAGTTGACTGGAATTAGGGATCATAGAATCACAGAACATTCTGAGCTGGAAGAGACCTACAAGGATCATCAAGTCCAACTCAGCTCTACACAGGACTCTCCAAGAGTCTCACCATGTGCCTGACAGTATCATCCAAATGCTTCTTGAATTCTGTCAGGCTTGATGCTATGACCACTTCTCTGGGGAGCCTGTTCCAGTTCCCAGCCACCCTCTGGGTGTAATAGCCAATCTAAACCTCTCCTGACACAACTTCAGGACATCCCCATGGGTCCTATCGCTGGTCACCAGAAAGAAGATATGAGTGCTTGCCTTGCCTTTTCGTCTTACGAGGAAGTTGTAGACTGCAATGAGGTCTCCCTTCAGTCTCCTCTTCTCCAGGCTGAACAGACCTAATGACCTCAGCCACTCCTTATTTGGCTTCCACTGCAGACCCTTCACCATCTCGTGGCTCTCCTCTGGACACTCTCTAACAGCCTAATGTCTTTTTTATGTTGCAGTGCCCAAAACTGCACACAATATTCAAGGTGAGGCTGCACCAATGCAGAGCAGAGCGGGACAATCCCCTCCCTCGACCAGCTGGCGATGCTTTGCCTGATGCCCCCCTTAGGACACGGCTGGCCCTCCTGGCTACCAGGGCACTGCTGACTCATATCCAACTTGCCATCCACCAGGACCCCCAGGTCCCTTTCCGTGGCATTGCTCATTCCTCAGTCTATACGTACATCTGAGGTTGTCCCATCCCACGTCCGGAATCCAGCACTTTCCCTCGTTGAACTTCATACGGTTGGTGATTACCCAGCCCTCCGGCTTATCAAGGTCTCCGGATAGTTACACTCACGACTAGTTAAACGGCACAGGAACCTGGGGGTAGTTCTGCTCACAGTGAAGCGGCCTTAGTTTAATCGAACAAACACAGAGCTTTGCAGCCGCGGCGACGAAGGCGGGAGGGAGCGAGGGCGCTCGCCCCGGGCCAGCGGCGGCAGCGGCACCCGTACCTTGTTGACGGCGGCGTGTTCCCGCAGCGCCAGGTCCCAAAACCGGCAGCCCACCTGGTTCCCGCACTGCCCCACTGCAAAGGGGAGAGACACAGCTCAAGAACGTGGAGGGTGTAGCGGGGGAGGGTGGGGGAGGTAGCTCTGGGCACCACGACTCCTTACCCTGCACCACCACCGACTGGGTCATGGCACGGCCAGCGAAGCTCCGCCGTTTCGAAGCGGGCGCCCGGAAGCCGCGCCCCCTGAGTTCCTGCGGTGGAACGGCCCACCCGTTGCCTTGGCTGCGGGAGCCCGCCCCGAGTGGAACGTCCCATTAGTGAGCGCCGGGGGTGGTTAAGGCGATAGGGGAAGCTTGGAAATGGTGTTGCGAGGGTGAACCTGTGAGGGGGCTGCAGGCTGTCAGACGCAGGAGACTCAGCAGAGACCCAAAATGAACACTTTGTGTGGGAAAACAAGTAATCTACTCGCAGAATATCCCGAGTTGGAGATATTTCCGTACAGTACAGTTCATTACCTTCTGTGGCTAAAAATGGTGCGATAAGAAGCGTTTTATTTTCCCCAAATTGATAATTCGGGAATATGGTGTGAAATGCGCCTAACGATATGAAAATACAAATTAAAAATTAAGTAAAAAAGTGGTCATTAGGAAATGCTGTAATGTACCTTCCCATCAGGCTCGCACGTTATGTTTTATTTTAAGCTCAGTTTCGTATTTCGTGTGCTTATAATTTTCCACAGTGCAATTGGGAGGCGCTTTTGCCTATGTGTTGGACTTAAGGAATAAAAAAGGAAAGAATGAAGGATGTGGAGTTGCTATTGTCTCGGCACAGCAAGACCGGTCCACAACATAGCTCAGCTGCAAAATCATAGAACCGTTTAGGTTGGAAAAGACCTTTAAGATCGTGAAGTCCAACTGTTAATCCATCACTGCCAAATCCACCACTAAACCAGTAAAGAATGTGTGATACGCAAAGCAGTTGCTTGCAGAAAGCTGTCTTGTGACACAGATGGCATTTCTGCTTCCTGTGGGAGAACAAAAGCACTTCCATGCAACCCAGTTCATTAGGTTTTATGGCTAAAACTGTCCAACAGAATAGTATTTTTCCAAATATATTATTTCTAGTGCTGGTGTGCAAACAAAATTTGCTAAATGAAATTCTTAATCCTTTATTTGCTCCTGGACGTGATTTAGGATCCTGTAGAGATTAATTATAGGTCCACAGGAAAATAAAGTTAGAGCAAATAAAATATTGTACAATACAATCTAATAATGTATTGTGTACAAGAAATAGATACACAGACTAATTTTTTAAAAACATAATTGGAAGAGAAGAATCCGTCTATTAGAAATTAATATTATTCTTAAGAAAAAGTACTGAGTGGCCTGAGGTTACTCAAGCGTCATGTATGAAATTGTAAAGAACCAATAGGTTTAGTGTTATAGGCATGTTTAGCATGAAAAGGGTAATACTGTCACAAACACTTCTTTTATAAACTAGTAACCAGTGTAAAACTACATGAATATTAACCACGAAAGCAGGTGGTAATTTCTCTCTGGACAGTCTAGATGTAACCTATAGCTTAATTTTGTTCCCTGTGGTTATCTGAACTGGTTCAAACTTATAGTCTATATTCAATGGCAAACTGTTTCTATACTTCTTGCCTGCTGTCATGTCCTTAAAGTCTTCCCTTCACATGCCTTTTTGGTCTTATTTAGGCTAAAAGCAGTTCAACATTGCTTATAAGCATTCTGAAGTTTAATTTAAGGTCTTCAGAATCTCTTAAGAATAATGTATCTGGCTTACTTTTTTCTTGTGTAATTAGCTACACTTTCTACTTGTTCTTTCAGTTAGTTGTAGCTTTTGTGTTCCATGTCCCATCAAGATTCAGCTTAATGGGATTCACTGTATTGAACATGAGATTGCAGCAAGACACTGTGCTTTGACTCCCAGTATGCTATTAGGAGGTCTGTGCTGGCAAATATTAAGTGATTATTCTCCCTGAGCTTAGAAACACCGTGAATCAGAGATGTAATTGAGATTCATATTCATATGGGAATATTTTTTAGCTTCCAAAGGAGGTCCAAGGGCAGGAAGTTTATGTGTAACAGCCAGATTAGCTTGATGCATATGCTCAGAGGTTTAATGAAATAGTCAGCTCAACTATGCAAAAGAAATCATCACACGCTGACTTTCTGCTTTGTTGTAGATGAAGCCCTACTTCATCTACCATGTTATAAATGAGTGAATCTGTACAGGTCCACTCAGAGACTGTCTGTGTTAATTATTTAATCAACAGACTTATGTTAATGTGTGTTTCTTACCCTTAATTTCTCAGTAACTTTTTGTTGAAGGTGTTATACGGGAATGGTGTTCCACAGCTTTGGAACAAAAATTGAATAGTTGTATGAATAACCTACTATGTTAGTGAGAGCAAATGACTGAATCGGTGAATAACCCTAAAATCTGAACTGTAACAACAGCCAAAAATACATAACAAGTTAAATATATGTGCTGTGCTTTCAGCATCTTTTTAATAACAGTCATTTGACTATTTAGGCCACATGCTGCTGTAGGGAGAATACACTGCAATTCGAACTAATGCTATCCTTTGATTTATAGCAGCTCTTAGTTCACATATGAAGGTTTGTTGGTTTGTAGTTTTGTTTTCCTGTTTGTGTGTATGTGTGGGTTTTTTTTGGTTTTGGTGTTTTGTTTTTGGTTTTTGGGTTTTTGTTTGTTTTTGTTTGGGTTGTTGGGTTTTTGTTTTTGTTTTGGTTTTGTTTGGTGGGGTTTTTGTTTGTTTGGTTGGTTTGTTTTGACTTAGAATGGCTGGCTTTTGGGGAATTACTGTCAGGCCTGTAACGCTCCATCTTTAATTTTCCTGTCTAGGCTGTTGTCCATACTCTTGATCCTTGAAGAGAGGGGAGATCTCAGATATAAGAGATAGACGGGCCAGAGGTCCTATTTAAATACTCTATTTTGAAGCAGTTTGCTGAGTATTTAATCTTGAAGTTGGATTCTTTCTTACACAGCCATGCAGATGTCCAGTTTCAAAATATTCCATGATATAATAACAGTGCAGCTCTAGCCCTGACTTAGATAAAGGCTGCAACAACACTTACTAAAATGTTGAAGGTGGAAGAGAAAAATTATAATTTCTTAAGGTCAGTGCTTTATTTTTTGGTAGGTTTTCTGCAGAATTGAGATAGTTATGTTCATATTGAAACTGCAAATGGACAATCTGACAGTGTAGCTCAGAAAGTGGAGGTTTTTCCCAAATCTTTGGAGATGAAGGGTTTTGTACTTTGGAGCTATAATTTTTAAGATAGATACAGAAGACAAATTGAATTCTGGGAAGATTTCTGCTTAGGCAGTCACTTTCTCTTAAACACCAGCAGCTTTGAAATGAATGTGGAGGTGTGTGTAATATAATGCATCACATACAGACTTTCTTTGGTGCATATGAAATGGTAATTTCAAGGTCTATGTGGATGTTGGGGGCAGGGAAATTTGCATTATTTTCTGCTCTCTCCTGAGTCTGAAAGTATCCTCTGGTTCATAGTATTTTTCTTTGGAACCCTGTTTTGCAGAAAAACCCCTGCATCTCTGAGGTCTAGAAAGAAAAACTGAGGAAGATATCATCCACAAATACTGCTATGGTTGATTAGCTGGTGATATAGTAAAGAGAAGTAATTTGAATGGTAGCAGTTTATGAATTTTAATGTGGTTTTTATTCACATATACTGTTTTAGTGTATTTTTAGTTTTCCATATATAAAGTATGCAAAGGATTGATTAATCAGAAAAGTCATTCTTAAATGTAAATTCACAGAACAAAATCAAATCACATTGCAGCAAATATGGCTAAGAGAAATATTGTTTATTCACAGAGCTTGGATGTGGATATGAGAAGTATGCTTTGGTTTGAAGTAGGTGTAAGACAGAAAAACATTTCGAGTATGTGAGTACCATTTAACATACAATGCTCACTTAATACCAACATTCACTAAACTGTGATGCTCTTAGGGGGCACAGACATATGCTATTCCTGGCTATCTCTGCTTAGCAGCTGCAGGCAACCTCAAAAGGAATTTCAGTAATCCTTGTAACAAACCTATCTGAGCAGGGAATCTGCTGTTCTTTTCTCTCCAGCAGTAGGGTCATGGAGACCAGGGCCTGAGGAAGCTTAGCTCAGGCTGTGGTGTCATGAGCTTGACTGAGCCAATCTAACAACTCATTAGCACTGGAAAGGAGGGAGACTTCCTTTTTTACCCCTGCTCCCAGCTGCACTGGGATGACATCATGCATGGCCTCTGCTACCCAGTGGGAATCCAGCACACTGATCTGAGGACATTCCCCCTCAACACCAATAATAAAAAAAATCCCAAACCAAAAATCCCAAATGTTTTCTGTTCAGAGGCTGGGTAGTAGCTGGGAGCAGAAAAGAGTTGAGTAGGCGTAGTGGTTTTGGGATCCAAGACAAAGATGGCATTTGAAGACAGCTGGATTCTGGAGAGAACCATGCTGGATTCAGAGAGGCTGCAGAGGGATACTCTTAACTTCTTGCTTATGAACACTGTGCTATGGAGTGACAAAAAGAGAGGTCTGTACACCACTACGAGAAGGACGGGGCCTCCATAAGGAGTTGGAAAGGAAATCAGTCCATGAAGCACACTGCCTGAGGGTTCTAGGGAAGGGAAGGGGAGACGTGTTCAGGAGAAGGCAGGAGGAACAGGCATGGGGACTGAAAGTAAGAGCAGAGCTGACAAGGCTGATGAAAGGAGAGGCAGTGGCTGCTGGAGCCATGCTGTCTTCTCTTATCCACTTACCACCCAACACTGGACTCTAAAGACAAGTGGAGAGTCAGTGATGGGGTCCCAGCTGCTGGAGAGTTCCTGTGCCAGTGTATCCAGAGCTTACAGTTCTTTATCCAAAGTAAGCCAAGTCTGCTGCAATCTGTCAAAACCCTTTTCCCACTAGAGGTAAAGCAGTAGGGAAGCTGCTTACACATGTATCTTATCCTGGTGGTTCCTCCAGCTGTCCATAGATTCAAGATCTTTGGATTCCAGTTGTCACTTGTGTGTTTTCCAGATGAATTCCCTATCAGTTTTTAGTCTCTAGGGTGTTGTCCTTTATTTTTGCTTTTCATACTTTCCTGCTTTGCAGCTGGTCATCTTTTGAGTTGGTTCCAACAATAATTTTTGCAGCAATCATAAA